GTTGTTGTAATATAGGACATGATGAGTTTGATGAAATTTGGAGGGAAGTTCAGGGTAACTAGCGTATAATGTATAAATGACCACTCGAGTTGGTCAAAAACTTTCTCAAGATCCAATTTAAGAAGCATATAAGAAGTTTTGCCTTTCATTCTTTGAAAGTGAGACACTAATTCCTGGACAATAATTGCATTGTCCGCCGCTCGTCGATTATTTTAGAATCTAGATTGGGTGGGATGTATAAGGCGTTCCAGGATTGGTTTAAGCCTATTGGAGATAATTTTTCGGATAACTTTGTGTTAGTTTGATAGTTAAATAGTAGTAAACAACCCTAATCTCATATGTATTAGGAGTAGGACATGTATTATATATATATGGCTCATTGTATCATTGTCAATATTAATAAATAATATTTTCTCCCGTGCATTCTCACATGGTATCAGATCATTGGTGAGATAATTATCGTTGTGCATCATTCCATCGACATTCGGGAAGAAATCAGTCGTCACCGTGCAATTTTTTGGTGACCTGAGTAGCTGTTTGCATCAAAACCACTTTTTACCGGTGTTGTGCATAAACCAACACCACCACAGTGTTCTCCATCTTCGGGCGACCAAACCCCACCAGAAAAAATCCATCCACGCACCGTCACACGCCGACCGAAGTGATTTATTTTTCGGCGAGATCTGTCCACGCGTCGGCGCGTGGACCTCCTTTCGGTCAGTTTCTGACGGAACTCCTTTTGGACAGCCTTCTCAGGACATTATTCCGAGTCGGTCTATTCAAGTTTCATCAAATTCCGGCAACCTCTTTTATTTTCCGGCGAGTGAACAGTGTTTTCCAAAAAAAGGTGTTCTGACTTGGCATTCCCAGGTTAACCACACAAGTTGTAATCAAGAATTTGAGAAATTGGTTGTAGCAAAATGGAATCCAATACTACAAATAGTTGGATGGTTTCTCTACCGGATTATATTGAGTTCCTTCAGTACAAAGCACGTAAACAGACATCTTCAGGATTAGCCTCCGTTGTTCCAAAAGATAGTAGCGTGACTTGTGTCTCTCAACCTTCAACCTCTGAGCCTTGGGTCATTGATTCAGGTGTATCTGATCATATTTCTGGTAATAAATCTCTTTTCACTGGTATTTCATATTCTCAATCTCTTCCAACAATCACAATGGCCAATGTGTCTCAAACCATGGCAACTGCAATAGGTCAAGCAAGTCCACTTCCTTTCTTACCTTTAGACTCAGTTCTTTATGTTCCTGGTAGCCCTTTTAATCTCATAGCCATTAGTCGCTTAGCCAAATCACTTAAATCTGCTGTTTTATTTCTTGATGACCTTGTTTTTATACAGGAACGCAGTACAGGGCGGATCATTGGTACCGGACGTGAATCAGATGGACTTTATTACCTTATCCTTGCAAAATCACATGGACTCGCATCTTGTCTTCCTC